AGCTGGATTTGAGGATCATTAAGAACATGGTCGAAGTAATCTTCCGAGATACCGGAGTTCAAATACTGGTCTGCAGCCATTCGCCCGGTGCCCAGGTTACAGCGAAGACAGTCCCTTGTTACTTCCATGCAACTGGAAATTGTAAAAGAGGGTTCAGTTGCAGATACAACCATTCCATTTTAGTTTCGTAAGAGTTCCAGAAGGAACTATCTCTTAAGGAGGAGGCAATGTAATGTGAGCCATTTCATTATTCAGTCATGCTCTAATACTCCAAGTCCCTCTCTGTATTATTTGGCCTTTGAGGCTCAACTTGTCCGATTATTATACATAATTAAACCCCTTAAGACCAAACCTATGTGACGACTATGGTGGAGACACTTTCGCGAACATTCCAGAGTCAACGAGATACTATTTCTAGTCTAAATATAACGTGATAACGTTTGGGTAAATTCTGGTAATTTTGGTGGAGGAACATTCTAGACCACCAATTAGTATATAAATATTGGTGGATGAGCCATCAGAGTTAGTTGTTATATGGACAGTGAAGATAAATAGTAATTAGTAGATAGACAGTAATAAATATAAATAGTGATCAGTCTAAAGACATTCGAAGTATATATAAATTAGAATAGTTGTGTTATAAAATATATAAGTGTTTAAATAAATTATTTATAAATAAACTGTTGTTTAAAATAAATAAACATCACACTTCTAATATTATTATCTATAATTTTTGTTTTATGTAAAATTTTCCTGATATGATCCGTATTCGAGAAATGTTTAAGAAAATTGTTGAACCAGAAGTTGTTTCCGATATTGATCTCTATAATTTTTGTTTTAACATGATTTTTCTAAAATGGACCGTAATGGAAAAATTGGAAGAAAAGTGCTAAATTAAAATTTTTCAGTATTTTCGTTTTCAATGAATATCTATAGAAAAATATTTCGAGTTAGATATATGTGGAAAATGTATATATTTAGTTTATCCTTCAAACATTTTCAGTGATGCTGCAATAGGTTGTATAAAATAACCGGAAAAGCCTATAATAACTAGATAGGAAAGTCATGTGTTGGACACATCAGATTTTTAATATAGTGAAAGAGGAAGGCTTACCTTGCTCGAAACGTAGTTTCGATTTCACTAAGTTTTAAATCTGTTGGCTGATATTTATTATTTAATCACAACTTCAAAAAATTACTTTAAAATTCCCGAGACACGCTTTATCGGCGTCGGTGGCTAGTGGGACAGCGTAACGCCCGGCCCACACAGTAACTGTCTTTTCCCTTCGTTTCCAAATCATTTAAATATTGGTTGAGACGTGCTTTCTTTGAAATTTTTGATCTAATTCACTTTGATATTATACTAACTGTTATTAATATTTCTAAGGTCAAATGAAGTAAAGTACTTGAAAATTTATATGAGATTTTTATGTAAAATCTTTAGATTAATTACAATAATGGCCAAATTAATACAAGCTGTTAATGTTTTTTCAAAATTTTATAACTAAAGATCAGTTGGTGGTAACCGTAGAAAGATAAGTCTTCTCTGCCTTAGGTTAGATAGTTATGTACATCTGTTATAATATTTAGTGTTTCTTAAAAATGTTCAGGAAGTAATTTGTGTTGTATTTTATATACAATAGTCATAGTGATAATTTAAAAACCCTTTTACAATTGTATTATTTATTGATATTATTTATTTATTTATATTTATTACTGGTGAGAAAAATTAAATGAAAAAAATCCCAGACACCTGTGTTCATGCTGTCAAGTATATAAGGTAAACCTATATCCTTATAAACGTTAAGGTTTTGTGGACAGTAAACTCTTGGCAAGTTTTAAATAATAGCCACATAATCAAATAGTCTAACTTAAATCACGTTGAATATCAATAGATAAGCATATCATTTTAGTAAATATAAAATATTACGGTTTATATACCTAATTTTTCCGACATAAAGGCTACATCAATGGCCCTGCTACCCCATTATTTCAAGTTGCGATCGCGCCAGTGAAGTCAAAAACGTAAAGAGAATTTTTAAATGAATTTCAAAGGCATAAAGCCTCCGACCCGAATGGAAAACCCAATAATAAGAGAGCAAAGCAAGAAAGCAAAGAAAAGACGATACGAAATAAGGCATCAAAGTATACCCTAAGTCGTGGAGGAAGGCCTCCGTCGTGGTTAGCGAAATGACAGGCTTATGTCCGATATAGTCAAATAAGGAGGCAAGCAGGAGAGAGGACTCGATGTCTGTGAAATATCGCTGTTAAATTGGCGGAAAAGGCAGCTCGGCGTTCAGTGGGACCTTCATTTTCAATTTTCATAATTTTCCGCTTTGCGGACACGGCCACAACTCATGAAAACAATTTACCTCTTTTTACAATGGAACTAATGGCTATTTAACTTCAATACTTTAAACTGTTCTATTTTTTTACTGTTATTATTGATAAAGTATTTTGTATCGTGTTCGTTCTATATCATAGGAATACTCGTATTTATGGGATATTTTATAGAAGATAATAACTAAAATATGGAATAATATAATAATATTACCCTTTATTACCAAGTGCATTTAGTTACAATAATAATTATAATATTAAATACTTTCCACTAATGACATTAATTGAACTATATGTATAACTAAAAAACAATATAACTTAACAAGTTAACAAAGTAAAAGAATTTCCGAAATTTACAAGTATAACAATAAAATTTTTATAAAAGCAAATATCAGAGACTATTGAAAAGCAAATACTAAAAACCAAATGGACTTATTGATAATGAAAGAAAGTAAAACAGCAATAATATTTTCTACTTCCTGGTTTGTTTTCTGTAAGACAATGGGCTAATAAATGAAATTTTATAAATGGAATCTTACTGTATTAAAATTGACGCAGTTGGATAAATAATCAATCATGAGTAACCTGTATTATATGTACTATTTTGACATTACATTTTCTCATGCTCTTTAATTAAAAAGCACTTCTATAATTTATTTCCAGTCACATCTGACAATTTATTTATTCGTTTTGATTGAATTGTTGAAGTACATAATAATTAAATATTAATATTACATCATCTATAAAGTAATAAACAAAGTACTTTTCGAAAATTTTAAACATAATTTTATTATTACTTTGTATTATCCAAAAGTTTAAAATAAGTGAATTTTTTTGGTTGACAAAATGACGCCAGCTGGCCAAATTTAAAAACTACTATCAACAAGAGCATAGCTGAATTGGTTCAACTTGTGTTGTGTTAACTGTGACGTCACTCGGTGAATACTTTAAATGTCATCCCATTTAAAACGTACACCCTTTTTTAAATTACAAAGTTCAAACATTTTTAAATTCAAAAGATCATTTTGACCCAGAGAGATAATTAAATACATTTAAAAATTATAGGAGTAAATAAATAGTAGGTAATAAATTTAAATACTATAGCCATGTTATCTTAACATTTTTTTAATTAAGAAATATTGAGAAATTTGAAATAATATAGTATAAGTCAAAATTTATATACAGAGTGTACAAAAAGTAACCTAACATACTAATATTTAGATTTCTCATAGATTTGCAAAACAATTTTAAATAAAATTTTATGAAATAAATCAAATTCGCTTGAATTTCGAACCGTCGGCCGAGCGAGCTCGCTCCGCTCGCCCTCCTCTGTACTATTTAGCAAGTGGGTGAAAAAAGCGTAGCGTGATCCTATAATGTGGTTGGAAAAAAGGCACGTCGGTCAGACGCGCTTGCTTGGCAACAGTTTCTCCGTAACTGATTACAGCTAAATTAACTCATCTGTATCCAGGCAACCACGCATTTTCTCACGACGAGAGTTGGGTTTGTGTTTACTGGTTACTATTGCAACAATTTTTACGTAACTAATTGCTGCTAAACGAAATTTTACCTCAAATCCCTTTTAGAAATCCCCAAACTTAAATTAAATTTGACATATGTCATTATATAAAAGGTGACCACGGTATGTATGACGTCACCACAGTAACCACAATATTGTAACTAAGAAAGTTGAAGTAACTTTATAAAGAAATGCCTTAAAAGTATTCACCGAGTGACGTGAAAGTTAACCCAGCACAAATTGAACTAATTCAGCTATCCTCTTGTTGAGAGTACTCTTTTAATTTGCCTGGCTGCGTCATTTATCAAACAAATAAATTCACTTGATTCAAAAAAGTTTTAAAAACTTTTGGATAACACAAAGTAGTTTTGTTTTAAAGTTTTCGAAAAGTAAATTGTTTATTACTTTGTAGATGACGTAATATTAATATTTAAAAATTATTTACTACAACAATTCAATCAAATTGAATAAATAAGTCATCGGGTGTGACCGAAAATATATTAATAGAACTGCTTTTTAAAGAGTATGGAAATATTATATTAAGTTATGTTAATTGGACCCTTGGCATCACCGTGCTAATTTGTATTGACAGAGTATGACAGATATAATTCTAAATTCTAATGAATGTTTGGAATTTATGGAATGTTAGGCATGTAAGGAATGTCAGGAATGTTAGGAATGTTAGGAATGTTAGGAATGTTAGGAATGTTAGGAATGTTAGGAATGTTAGGAATGTTAGGAATGTTAGGAATGTTAGGAATGTTAGGAATGTTAGGAATGTTAGGAATGTTAGGAATGTTAGGAATGTTAGGAATGTTAGGAATGTTAGGAATGTTAGGAATGTTAGGAATGTTAGGAATGTTAGGAATGTTAGGAATGTTAGGAATGTTAGGAATGTTAGGAATGTTAGGAATATTAGGAATGTTAGGAATGTTAGGAATGTTAGGAATGTTAGGAATGTTAGGAATAATGGGAATGTTAGGAATGTTAGGAATGTTAGGAATGTTAGGAATGTTAGGAATGTTAGGAATGTTAGGAATGTTAGGAATGTTAGGAATGTTAGGAATGTTAGGAATGTAAGGAATGTTAGGAATGTTAGGAATGTTAGGAATGAATGCTAGGAATGTTAGGAATGTTAGGAATGTTAGGAATGTTAGGAATGTTAGGAATGTTAGGAATGTTAGGAATGTTAGGAATGTTAGGAATGTTAGGAATGTTAGGAATGTTAGAAATGTTAGGAATGTTAGAAATGTTAGAAATGTTAGAAATGTTAGAAATGTTAGAAATGTTAGAAATGTTAGAAATGTTAGAAATGTTAGAAATGTTAGAAATGTTAGAAATGTTAGAAATGTTAGAAATGTTAGAAATGTTAGAAATGTTAGAAATGTTAGAAATGTTAGAAATGTTAGAAATGTTAGAAATGTTAGAAATGTTAGAAATGTTAGAAATGTTAGAAATGTTAGAAATGTTAGAAATGTTAGAAATGTTAGAAATGTTAGAAATGTTAGAAATGTTAGAAATGTTAGAAATGTTAGAAATGTTAGAAATGTTAGAAATGTTAGAAATGTTAGAAATGTTAGAAATGTTAGAAATGTTAGAAATGTTAGAAATGTTAGAAATGTTAGAAATGTTAGAAATGTTAGAAATGTTAGAAATGTTAGAAATGTTAGAAATGTTAGAAATGTTAGAAATGTTAGAAATGTTAGAAATGTTAGAAATGTTAGAAATGTTAGAAATGTTAGAAATGTTAGAAATGTTAGAAATGTTAGAAATGTTAGAAATGTTAGAAATGTTAGAAATGTTAGAAATGTTAGAAATGTTAGAAATGTTAGAAATGTTAGAAATGTTAGAAATGTTAGAAATGTTAGAAATGTTAGAAATGTTAGAAATGTTAGAAATGTTAGAAATGTTAGAAATGTTAGAAATGTTAGAAATGTTAGAAATGTTAGGAATGTTAGAAATGTTAGAAATGTTAGAAATGTTAGAAATGTTAGAAATTGTATTGACAGAGTATGACAGATATAATTCTAAATTCTAATGAATGTTTGGAATTTATGGAATGTTAGGCATGTAAGGAATGTCAGGAATGTTAGGAATGTTAGGAATGTTAGGAATGTTAGGAATGTTAGGAATGTTAGGAATGTTAGGAATGTTAGGAATGTTAGGAATGTTAGGAATGTTAGGAATGTTAGGAATGTTAGAAATGTTAGAAATGTTAGGAATGTTAGGAATGTTAGGAATATTAGGAATGTTAGGAATGTTAGGAATGTCAGGAATGTTAGGAATTTTAGAAATGTTCGGAATGTTAGGAATATTAGGAATATTAGGAATGTTATGAAAGTTAGGAATGTTAGGAATTTTAGGAATATTAGGAATGTTAGACGTTAGAAATAATTGAAAAGCGTTAAATAAATCACATAAAAAATGCATGGGCGGAGTTTAAGAATATTAATACTAAAGTAGTTAGGATTAACTAAACATTCGGAAAATCAATCTGGTTTTAGGTTAGAAGTAATTATTCAAGAAAATCGAAACCGCAAGTCAATCAGAACTTTCGTTCTAGAGTTATCGTGTCGGCATACATACACACAGACGACCAGATTAAAATATTGTTTTGCATTTTTGGTCTCGTGCAAAAAGTATAAAAAATGGGGATAAGAAAATTTTTTCGTCTGTACGAATGCAATACTGAGGCCCCATAAGAAATGCCTTAGTAATATTTCAAATTACAATGTTTTAATAGCTAATATTTAGTAAATAGTAACAATTAAGAGAAAGGAATGTTGAAAAATGAAGTACAGTTTTCTATTTTTTTAATGATAAATAATTTTGGGATAATAAAAAAAAATTGTTTCCGTAAATTTAAATGTGTTTTGGGGTAATTAAGGAAATTAGTAGGAAGCGGAAAAAGAAGAAAGAAGAAGAAAAAGAAGCTATAAGAAGAGGTCAACACCTACTACCTTTGCCAAAGTCACCATTAGCACCGACTCAAGGACTATCACCAAGTTCAAATTGTGATAACTATCCAAATCCAGAACCATACCAAAGCATTCCGGGTTCCACGATCTATGACAGAAAATGGGCCGAATTCCAGGACTCGAGAATCCAAAGCTAGAAAGCGACTGCTTTACTTAAATTCAATACCACGGGCCAACCAGTACCTCTAAGCTCTCCGACGGCATGAGACATGCCGCCACGGGATCTTTACATGAAATTGGGTAAATTTTGAGTCTGTAGGAGCGAAAACCACAGCGTGAAAAAAATTAATACAAATGGACTAAGGTTTAATAAAAGAGGTAAAAAAAGTTCAAAGCAGTATGTCAACCAGATGGTCCAAATTCGAAAACGGATAGACTACCACAGTAGAAAGAACCAAAAAACCAAAAGGAAGGTCCAGGATCAGGGAATGATAAGAGGTGCCAACCAAAAAGCAAAAGGTAGTTACAGTTAATCTAGAAAGAAGATTTAACTTGTGCAGTGAACGTAAGGTTACCATTATGTAGATAATTTTTGTAAATTATTTACATTAAGGATTTTAAAAAGAATTATATAAATAGTTCAACTTTTTTCTGTCAAAAAAATAATTTAATAATTAAAATTAATGTTAATAAAATATAAATAATTACACAAACATTCTAAAAAGTATTTTTTAGTGTTTTTACTAAGTGTTCAAAATAAAACACACATATTGAAATAAAATAAACAATAAGGTTATTGCCCTAGTCAAGGGCTTACTTTAATTATCCAAGGTAGTACGTTAACATTTTAAAATATAAAACGATTACGTAAATTTTGGGTTAAAATAGAAAGACTAGAGTAAGGACTGCGGTCCGAAACTTTGGCCACTGGACCTCTTTAGTATTTACAGGGTCTTTGAGACCATAGGTCCCAAAGCATCTTAAATGTGTAAATGTTAGTGTTTTTGTTCGGCGATTTTTATGTACTAGAGGTAAATGTCTTTAAATTATGTAAACATGTTGTTTGGGTTTTGTTTTGAGACAATTACTTTATCGATTTCCATATAAATGAAAACTTTTCAATTTTCGTCCCAAGTTTTATCTATCTTGCATGTATTAAAATTCATTTATTTCAATATTTATTTCTTAAATATAAATTGATTATTTATTTTGTAAATATTTTAAATATACATATTTTTACGGTTTAATCACTTTATTAATATTCTCTCCTCCCCTTTCCAAAACCCGCTATAAAATTTTCTTAGGATTTGTAAAGCCAACGTTTTTACCCCTAAAGGACTAGAAAAGTATATAACTAGTTTCCAAAGCCGCTCGACTATGCTATTAAGCGATAATTTTATCTTTTTTTAATTTAATTTTATTATTATTTTTTGACACAAGTGAATGGATGTTCCTTCGGGAGTTCAGGACCCTTTGGCTGGTGACAGTGCTGCCTAAAAACCTAAATAGTATATTGACAACAGTAGCTAAAGACCTATCAGTTGCAACTAATAAGTCTCTTGGCTAGTTGGTTGTTACGTTTGCTGACAACGGCGGTCCTTTAAAAAAACCGATTGTTACAGTATCTACTAGTTTCCAACGATAAACCAGAAACGATTAATTTGAAAATCATTATGTTTGCCAATAAAACTGCTCTTTTAGTAATATTAGTAAATGCAGAAAAAGAAATTAAAAAATTAACAAGCCACTAAGGAATTCAACAGATGGACTAACGGTAGAAAAGGAGGTAATGCTGGGAGCATTCTTGGATATCGAGGGTGTATTTGACAATACCTCCGTTGAATCTATCATTAGATCTCTCAAACACAGAGGAATCGAGGACACGTGCGTGTCCTGGATCGACTCTATGTTAAGGAAGAGAACTATACACACAACCCTTATGGGAGAGACAATAGCGGCACGGGTAGCGAGAGGATGTCCGCAGGATGGAGTGCTGTCTTCGCGCCTGTGTAACCTTGTAGTAGACGGGCTGCTTAGGGCTATCAAAGATAAGGGACATAGAACCCTGGGATATGCCGATAATCTAGTGATCATGGCACAGGGAAAATATAATACTATAGTAAGAGATCGAATGCAAGAGGCTCTAAATATAGTAACAAAATGGACAGATGCGGAAGGACTAAACATAAGCCCAAACAAATCTGACATAATTGTATTTACCCGCAGGAGGAAATTTGAGGGATTAGGGCTTCTAAACCTAAAAGGTGCAAGCATCCAACTAATGATGGTTATGATTGACTCGAGACTTACCTGGAACCAGCATCTAGAAAAAATCACAAGGAGAGCGGAAATTTCGTTAATGATGGCAATGCGATCCTTTGAAAAAAATAGGGGTTAAAACCAGACATGGTATATTGGCTTTATAACATAATGCTAAGACCGATAATAACATACGCAGCTTTGGTGTGGTGGCCAAAGACACAGCAAAGGAAGGCATTAACAAGGCTAAGCAAGGTACAAAGACTTGCCTGCCTCGGAATAACGAAGACAATGAAAACAACCCCCACTGCTGCAATGGAAGCACTAATAGGACTTCCACCTCTTCACTATGTGATACAAGGGGAGGCAAGATTAGGTGCTTACAGATTAGGGAATAGACTGTGAAATCTTGACATTAGGCCAGGTCACATGAGTATCTCAAGGTTAGTGACAGGAGACGTGCTAGACATGAGGTCAGACCACATAACCAAGAGGTACTCTTTTAATACTCAATTTAAGGTTTTAATACAGAAAAGACCGGTATACAGACGGGTCTAAGACTGAGGAAGGCAATGGGGTGGGATTATTCTCCAAAAACCCTGATATTAACCATAGCTATGCTATAGGAATACATTCTTCGGTATTCCAGGCCGAGGTATACGGAATTTTGCAATGTGCAATAACGAACAATGAAAAAGCTGTCGAAAATCAACATATTCAAATAATGTTAGACAGCCAAGCGGCACTTAAGGCCATATCTAGTCAGAAAGTTACGTCGAGGCTAGTATGGGAATGCTTTGAAAAACTAAGAACATTGTCAGACCGAAATAGAGTAAAAATATTTTGGGTGCCAGATCACCAAGGCAACGAAAAGGCTGACGAACTTGCAAAAATAGGGTCAGAAGAGATACCGGAACCAGATACGAATCCAGGAGTACCAAAAAGTACAGTCCGGAATTTCATAAACTACTGGATTTGGGAACAACATATTAACTATTGGGGAAGCACCCCAAAACAGGCACATGGAAAAGCCTTCATAGGCAGATCATGTTTCAAAAAAACTGAAGAACTACTCTTTATAAATAGGAACCAGTTGAAAGTGATAACAGGGTTAATGACTGGGCACGCCCCAGTAAAGGGACAATTGAACAAAATTTGTATATACAATGGGGAACTCATGTGACGACTATGTCACAAGAAACCAGAAACGGCCAAACACATACTGTGCGAATGCGAAGCTCTAGATCGCAAAAGACAGACTCTTATTGGACAACCCCAGGTTGATATAACAACGTATAGAACCCACTCACCCAAGGATCTGTACAAACTTGTACAAGGTACAAAGGTGACAGTGGGTACTGTGAACTAACATGGGGTAAAACACAATAAGCTAATAGGCTTCAGTGTTATTTGGGGACATAGTCAGACGAGCCCAGAAGAAAAAAATAACGGTAGAAAATAAAACTAACATTTCTAAACATAAATTTCACTAATAAAAATTACCAAAATAATGTAAAGTTCACGATAAATAATGATTACCAGGCACCCTATAAAAATATAGCCAAGTATATAGAAATTACTTTAGGTGCAAAGATTAGGTGGAAAAAGCACAATAAGAATAAAAGAGCTATACAGGGTGTACCAATAAAAACTCCCAGGCCGGATATTTTGATAAGTAATAGAGATATTTTAATTCTATACAAGCCTTCTACTTCCTTAACCCCTTAATTTTAAATAAGGAATGTATCATGTACGGCACATCATTGAAAATGTAAATTTATGGTAAAATCATAAATATGACTGTTTATTGCGATATTTTTAATTTTAACGTCCTTTATCGGGATAAAGCACCTGTAATGTA